ATGGGGAATTGGAAGACTGGGTCGGGAGCACTAACCAGATGTATGGCTGTCCAGGTCAACCTCTCTTGATCACATTTCTCTCATTTGTGAAAGTAACCTGTCAGACCAGATTGCCTCCCAGATCACTTCTGGCCCTGAGTGCTTATGTCACCAAAGGTGGAAAGAGAAATCTCAAACAGAGTTGGAGTTGAGAAAACTAAACCTAGAAAAGCTATGCCTAGTCTAGGGGACATTTCCAAAGCAAGTACAATGGGTGAAGAGATTTAAAAAGAAGAATTGTTAGTGGGGAACAGAGAACTTAAACACTGCCAAAGTGTATGATGGTCCAAAGGTCATAGAAAAACAGAGGGATGAACTTCTCAGCCAAACTAGGCAGCAGATCCCAGATAACTGCTTGGGAAGGGAATGCTGTTTTACTAAAGGTGGGGACAAGAGGTGAAATTAAAATAAACTGACAAAGGCTTTATAGTAAAGAGAATAGGTAGAGATTGATTTCTGCAAAGCCTGGGAATTCAATGGAGATGTCAGAAGAGAAACAATAGTCTCACGTTTCTAATTGTCTTTCAAGTAACTGCTCTGTAGTTCTTGTGTAGGAAAGGGAGCAACAAAAATGTCATGTCTTACTTTCCCATGCTCTGTTCCCGGAACCTTATTGTTTCTGTTCTGTACTGCAACAATTGTCCCCAAACTGGTTCCTTCCCCTTGAACCTCAGTCTATCCACTGTGTGTGAGCCAACGTTACAATCTAAAGTGCACTGAACTCCGCCTTCCCGCTTATAACCCTGTAATTTCCCCTCCCCATCTTTTGGCCTGACACCGAGGGCCCTATAAATGAGCAAAACTGCCCTGCTCCTTTCTGAGAAGCTTCAGAGGGTTCTCCAGCACACTGTCATTCTAAGTTCCCCTTTTTGGCTATGAAGTAAAGCTCTGTGTCCCAGCTTGACCGGCCTAGGGAAGAGTGCTTGGCTGCCAGGGCAAAAGCCCATGAATTTATGTCCTAGAGCAGATGGTGGCAGGTCACTCACTGGATTACATTCTGTCTTTCAGGGTACTGAAAGGGAGATGAAGGGAAGAGTAGACAGAAGCGGAAACACACACATGAACAAAAGCAATAGGTAGAAGCCACAAAGCAGAAGCGCATGGAGCAGAGGCCAGGGAGCAGAGAATTGCCGAGTGGCAGTGCAGCAGACAGGAAAGAGAGGGAGGCTGGGCTGCTGCAGTGCTCAGGCCGTAGTTAGGGAGAGTGGGCATGGGTATTCCAGAGAACACCTGCGCGGGTTGCTCTCAGGATCCCAGAATGACTATCTGAACCAGATCCTTAACCTCTGTGTGGCCTCATTGTTCAGAAGCTGAAAGGGTTTCTTTTCTCTCTTACTCTCTTAATGAATCTTTAAAATAGTTCCACACTGAAATCCTACCAAGTTTCCCTTTACAAACAAAAAAATCTAATAAAGATCGTCTAACCAACAAGACAGGGACCCTCCTTTCATTTTCAGTATCATATCCTGCTTAAGACTCAGCTCAAATTCAAAAGCTTCTCTGAATATTTTGTATTTGAGAAAAGTATCTGGGCAAAGACTCTCAGATGTCATATGGCTGAATACTCAAAGTCTGGGCATGTTTCAACACGATCAGGACATTTGAATAGAATCTGTTCATTGAATTACCTCAATAAAAAATTACACATAGCAACATAAAGGTCTTATATTCAGTATTGGAGGGTTAGACAGCTAAGCAATACGCTGGTCTGATATCAAGAAAAAAAAAATTGCAAGGACACTATTTGTCTCCAAATCTTTACTTAGAGATGGAATATGTTTGGAAAGAAATTCCGAGTTGAGTTGTCTGTTTCAGGGACCTGTTAGAAGCTTGGTAGCATCATATACAACAGAAGACAGTTGTCCTCAGGGTGAGATTTGAGGAGGGAACGGACTGGTAAGAAGGAGGTAGATGGTAAGAAGGAAAAGGGAGAAGATCAGAAGACAGTACAAGAGCTCAAAGCTGTTGGGTGCGAGGAATCTGGGGTTTGAGAGCAAGAATAAAGAAGGGAGAAAAGACAAAGAACTGCTTGGGCTGACCTAGATGCAGTGTATAAATGAATTACTCACTTTTTATGTAGTTTTGCCAAGTGGCCACCTGAGGGCACTCTGTCCTATGGACTGACGGATCTATTTTTTCTCATCAAGTACATTATTTGTCCTCAATGTACTAGAGGATAAACTTAGGTTAATGCTTTAAATATGGGTATCCATGAAAGATGGAGTTCTTTTGTTCCTTTCTTCTTGAACTAGATTAATGAATGAACAAGAATGACCTCAATTCAATTCCCTGGATAATTGGAGAATTAAACCCAATAACATAATTTGCTTCTCTTTAGTATTTAGTAAGAACTCAATTAATATTAGCACCTTCTCATATAGATACACATGCAAACATGCAAATTTGCCAAATTTAGTAACAAGAGACAGAATGTAAGGAGGAATTAAACCAACCCTTTATATCTCTAAAGGGGGCAGGACTCCGAAGTTTAAAAATGAATAGAGAGCTATGCTGGGAGGTCTTTCCAAAGAGCAAATTTATGCTGCTCCTTTCATTGCATGTTGCAGCTTGTACATAATAGCCAGAGGGAATAGAACACAAACAGCTGGGAAATAAAGATGAAAGCAAAACTGTATCAGCAGGGAGAGACACACAGCCCCCTGAGACTCCAGCAGTGTCATGAAAAATAATTTGAACAAGGTCACCTGCGTGGAATTCCTCTTCTCAGAAAAAGATCATTAGACTCCTGCTCATTCTGACCATCTCCATGGGAGTCAAGATGGGAAATGGAATACATTTGAAACTCCTACCTTTCAAATGTCAACAATAAAGTCCCGTTATATAGCAAAACAAAGCCACAGACAAAAGCGTGCATTGCTATAAAGGCTAACTGGAATTTTAGATGTCTGAAAACAAAGAAATTCTGATTTCCTGCACAAAGGACCAGCTTGAGGGACCCTCCCCCTGTTTGAGTTCAATGCAGCATGTTTTGTGGCCTCATGCTGCCCTCTAGTGCTGTTTTTAGGGTATGGCAATATGAGGAGAAAAATCACAATAATCCTGACATAGCCAATAAATGTGACTTTGGCCCAGGAATGGTGAAATAATACAGAAGTAAAATTTTAAAATAAAATCAAAACATAATTTATGCATATTTTAAAAGGTGAATTTAATTTAGCCTTGGTATAGATCCGACATTACTTCAAGACTATATTTCATAGCATCCAGATCAGTGAATGCTCTTTAAAATAGACACCTGTGGGAACCAGCAGTTAGCATAATGGCTATGTCGCTGGACTCCCACGTAGTTGACCGCGGTTCACGTCCTGGACCCGGTGGCTTAAAACTCACACCGGGCGCGTGTGCGTGCGTGCCCAAGATCCCGAGAGGAGAATGGAGGAGAAGGGATTGCAGCGTGACCATCCCCCCTGGGGGGTGATTTCTCGCTTTCTGTCTCTATGTCTCTGTCTGTCTGGCGAGCGCACGCGCCCTATGGTGAAAAAATCTCTCTCAAAAAAAAAATAGACACGTGTCAGTCTCTGCATAGTCCTCACAAATTATGACTGCCTCAGTTTGTCTGAGGGATTCAGATATTAGCATTTCACAAATGTCATATGATTCTGATGTAGTTAAGTTGGTTGTCCTCAATTTGAGAAGAACCAGATTGTCACAATGACTTGGAGCAGGCTGTAGGATAAATCTGATCATAGGGACCAGAAGATGCACAGTGGTTACATTGTTGGATTTCTACATAGATGAATTCTGGACCCAGTCATTAAAAACTCATGTCAGGCACGTGTGCATGCGTACCAACTATCCCGGGAAGAGAATGAAGGGTTGTGGCATGGCCATCCCCCCTGGGGGTGATTTCTCACTTTCCCTCTCACTGTCTCTGTCTCTCTGGTATGCACATGAACCCTAAGGCAAAAACTTCCCCCACTCCCCAAAAGAGAATAAATCTGATCATTTTAATATTTTAAAGGATAGCTCTTATGCAAAATAACATGACATAAAACCATTGGCCAAAATAGGTCAAATTTCATGTTTTCTTCATTTAGAGTGGCTCAGTCCTATGTGACTAGCATGCAAAGGAAGCAAAATGCTCTTCAATTCAGACTGAAGAGTTCATGTAGAAGTTCTCCCTATCAATAAGTTCTCCTTCAATTCCAAGGGGCTTCCAGGTGGGAAGGAGGAATGGATAGCTATAGTGCTTCAATAGATCTTCTTGGTGTGCCCGGATTAGTCTCAATGCCCCTGCCGTGGCCCCACAGCATCCTGTCCCATTCCTAAGATTAGACCAAGGCCTTGGGCTTATAAATGGAGTGTGTAATCCAATGGTGACAGGAACCCAAGAAACCTTCCCTCCCCTTTTTGTGTCCCATCAATAGAAGGGATCTTGAGAAGAAAGTGTGGTCATGGGACATGGCATCTCACATCGCCCATCCTCAGTAGTTCGCATTTCTGCAGCCATAGTCGGCATTGGCCAGATAATGGTATTAACTGAGCACTGACTGTGTGCTAAGGGTGAGGAACAGAGCTGCAAAGAGGATGGCAGGGTTCCTATAATAGCTCTCACTTTTTGGCAAGGTTGATAAGTCTGTAAACCCTGAACTCCATGAGATTTAAGGGGATAATGATTAGCAAAGAATTCTATTCATCTGGAAAATTACTTCAATTTAAACTGTGTGTGTGTGTGTGTGTGTATGGAGGGGTAATTTTGTCAGAGGGTGAATACACTCACTGGAGAGAGACAGAGAGAGAGAGAAAGTGGGAAAATGCCTATAGGGAGTGGCCATGGCACAATTCTTTCTCCATTTCTCCTCTCTGTATTTTCAGAATGTATGCGTATGCACCTAACACATATCTTAAGCTGCTGGTCCAGGACTCGCCCATGCAGTCAGCCATGTGGATCCAGTCACCTTAACTGCCACTCTACTGGCTGGTCCTACACACTATTATTAAATCTCCTGCAAACGAGAGGCTTCAAAAAATTGGGTTAAGTTTCAGAATTGTTCCTCTTCATGGAATTTTTAGCAAAAGGTGAAAAGATTCATACCTTATGAAGAGAAACCAGAGTATGTATATATTTTTTTAATAGTTCTTCAGGAAAATTAGGACACATTTTTACATAGAAAAACATGGAAAAATACATCATGACTTTCCCAATAACCGAATAAATACACACACACACACATGGGCCAGGCAGGTCACACAGTGGTTAAGGCAGCTGGATCCCACATGGTTGACCACATGATTTGAGCCCTGGATCCAGTGGCTGGAAAAACACACTGTGCATGTGCATGTGTGCCCAAAATCCAGAGAAGAAGATAAAGGAGGAAGGGATTGTGGCAGGGCCCCCTTCTGTTCACTTTCTCTGTCTCCCTCTGGTGAGTGTACATGCCCTATAGCAAAACTAAAAACGCACACACACAAGTGAGCAGAGGCAGAATTCAATACTAATATGTCCTTATTATGTAATTCATAGTTTTAGATGTTTATCATGGGAAATGCCTTTCTTATATTTAGAGATATGAAATACTCAATGTTTTAATACAAATCAGCTCTGAGTTTCTAAGATTTGTAAAAGTACCCCCACTTTCACCAGAAAGAATCATCCCACAATTTCCTACCACTGTCACTTCTATGTTTTAATGAACTGTAAGAAAATATTTCCTTCTCAGCCGTCAGTGCCCTAAATATCCGAAGAGAAGGACCCACACCTGGCGCTGCGTCTCTGCCCCTCAGTGTGCAGGGCTGTGTGCACCATATCCCTCAACCAGTCGTGAACTGTTTCTTTTTGAGCCGTTCTAGTCTGCAGTGTAGAACCCATGGCTCCTAGTGAAGTACCTATATGCTTACTGAGATCTCTCCAACACAAACAGGGCACGGTTTTGCCTGGCTTTGGTGGCTGGTTAGCCTAGCACACCAAATTTCACAATCTTTCTCCTTCTCTTGACAGTCACCACCTGAACCCACTGTACAAACCAGGGGTAACTCTTGAAATGGGGGTGAAAACATACTCCATTGGCATCAACCAGAAGAAAGAAAAAGAGGTTTGGCTTGTTAAGCATTTCCTTTGAATTTCACTTTATTTTTTACGCTTAGCTATTGGATTAGCGGGCACAAACAGGATCTCTTTGAAGTTACTAAGAGGGCCAATTTGGGAGAAGAGAGATGGCCATTACCACACTTTTTATGTGTTGGACAAATAAAGTCTCAGGATTGTAAATACATTCTGCAATTATAGAAAGTGAAACACTTCTTCTTTCATCTTACTTAGAACGTTTTTTTTTTTCTAGAAGGAGTTCTGTGAAATTCTTTTTCCAGTTTCCTAACTCCCCAATGTATTTACCTTTTAAATCAAAGGGAAAGATCCCAGCAATATAAATGAGCATCTCTTCTCAAGCAAAGCTATGCCTGCGCTAGTATCTGCAGGGCTTTGTAGTGTGTCAGGATAAAGCAGAGGGCAACAGAGGGCGTGGGGTGAGCTGAGTTGTTTCTCTCTCCCCTATTCATTGTTTTACTCCTGAGCAAATCATTCCAACTTAGGTTTCCTACAGACAGAATAGTGTGCCAATACGACTTCTCTAGTGCTTGTTGTAGTTACACGAGATGCAAATAACCATATGTTCTTAGTGAACCACAAGGGCCCATTCAGGTAGACTTCTCTTATTCCCCCATTACTGACAGTTTTCTAAGCATTTTGTCTTGCTCACTTGCCAATTCAGTATCAATAAGGAAGAAAGAAGTCTGTTAAGACTTTCTTAGTGGCTGGTATGAGAAGCATTCCCATGGTGTGTGTGTGTGCTGGGGAGGTGGCATGAGGGCAGAATTCGCTGTTGGAAACACAGGGGATAAGCCAGGTAGGGCCCCTATTGGTCAGGGAATCTGCAAGTACCATGGAAACCTCACCAAGGATAAGAAAACTAATGAGCTCTAAGAGAAGCTCCTTATGTATCTGGGCTAACCTTGACTTCAAATTGATTCAAAACTATTGGGACCAAATAAACTTGCAAATACTTACTTTTTTTTATAATATCAAGACTAAGAATATATTTTCCCACTCTTTAAATTTTAATCATTCTTAGGTGTTGCATGTTTTGAGCTGCTATTAAAAATACATATGTTCCTGCCACATTAAAGGGGGATCAGAGGCTTGTGTGTTGTATTATTAATTATGTGATGAAAATGAAATTCTGGTCAGTCCCTGCCGAAAGGTACGCACGCACGCTACCCCCATCACAAAGGAGGTTCCATGTGAGGAGACCTCGGGGCAGAGTGCTGGTTACCGAACAGGCACTTACTTTTGAGGTCTAAGTTCCTGGCTCCCGCGGTGATCTGTGTTGTGATTTTCGTGTCAATCTTTACAGTGTGGAGATTGCTGGTGTCCCTTGAGATCATCACATTGTGCCACTGATTGTCATTGAGGGGTTTGTTTGAGCTCCCTTTGATGAGGTTAGCACCATTTCCCAAATCAAACACATAATGTAAGTACCTGGAAAAGGAATGAAAGAGGGGAAAGGGTCATCATGATTTAAATTTTTAAAAGACTCCAACTAAATACCACATAGAAATATTTTTTTATCCTTACTGAAACTAATGAGTGAGTTACATAAAAGTCAGCCAGGAAGAAGTAAGAACCACTACACCATTTCAGCAAAGAGGATGATTTGTTGTCTTCACTCTGGGAAATAGTAAAACCTATTTTAAAAATCACAGTCTACACTCCGCTTTATGGCTTTGGAAGGCAATACCTTTCCTCATGCTTTTGCTATTTTCATTATTCCCTCCATTCTTTGCTAACCAAACTGAAAGGGCAAGTCTTTCTGTTTTTCTTGAATTTTCTTTTCCTTTCTATCTGAATCACTGTTTCCACATGGGAAATACGCAGTTATTCAAGACCCAGCTCTGATATCTATTCTCCGATATGTACATTTTTATAATTTCCCTAAGGACACTCCTGCAGTCTGCATGTAATCCTCTTTGGAAACTCTGTAAGGTTTGTCTGCGCTATCTATGGGTCCACTGGTGGCCCCTAGTGTTGTATGTTGTAGGTGTGGCTCAGGGGTGGGTGGGCATCAGAGATGTGGCAAGGAATACATATATGTATATTAGTGTCTGCACATCATCTAACCTACTGTAAAAAGGCAAAAATATTACTGGGTTAATGAGCAAATGCCCATCAACTTTTCATCATAGTTTCAATGAAATTTCATAAAATTATTTCTAAATCCTTTTAAACAATGTTGACATAGAGCAGGTTTAAATTAAATGAATTTGATGGGGCTGGTCCCATTGCCTAGTGCTTCAGAGAGCCAGGTCTCACATAGTCAAACTTGTAATTAAAATCCCAGCTTCAGAGGCTTGAAAAATATGCTGATCCTGTGTGCACACATGCCCAAATCCCAACAGAATGGAAAAATGGAGAAGGGGTCCTAGTATAACCATGCCCCATTGGGGAGTGCTTTCTCCCTCTTCCTCTCTCTCTGTCTCCTGGTCTCTCTCTCTGGCAAATGCACATACCCTCTAGCCAAAAATAAATCAGAAAGTTAAAAAACAGGTTGTATGAAACATAAGTAATATTATTACTTGAATTAGCTACTTCATTTAGCACAGGCTTGTAGATACTCTTTTGTGGAATTACATTGTATATAGTCAGGAAATGCACATTATTATTTATTTAAGGCTTTTGCCATAGGGCACATGTGCTTGGTGGAGAGAGATGCAGAGGGAAAGTGAGAAATCACCCCCCAAGAAGAGGGTGATGGGCATGCTGCAACCCCTTCTTCTCCCTTCTCCTCTTGGGATTTTAGACACACACACACACACACACACAGGCATGATTTTCAAGGTCCAGGACTCGAACTGCTGTCAGTCATATGGGAGTCCAGCACCTTAATCATCATGCCACCTGCTGGCCCCAGGAAATGCACATTTAAAGTGTATTACTCATGGGACACCTATCCTAAGTTAGAATTCCATGTTAATTGTACCTCATATGTGAAAGTGTAAGTATAAAAACTGTACTGAATCCACTAAGATGCCTAACAAATGATTTAAGTAAATGCATTAATTGTCTTCCCTCTGGCCCTGCTCATCACCTTACAAGCCAATACTTTCTGTTTCATGTATATTTGGGAAATCAAGGTTCGTTTTTCCAGCTTTATTTGTCCATGAGCTGACACATACTCACCCTTTAACTAATTCCACCACGATAAAGTCGTTTCCATCCCCACTGTTATACAGAATTAGTCCATCCAAGGATGTTGTCTTGAACTGGAAAAAAAGATGCATAGAAGTGTAGGCTTGCAACGTAGCCAAGGCAACATAGCTTGATTTGGTCTTGAAGGTGACGGGGTCTGCTATGATGTTCCTGAAGCCAAATCTGGCATTGAGCTCACAGTAATCTATGTCACCATTTTTACACAGATCAATGTATGCCATCCCATTGAATGTCAGGCTCTGCAGGTGTCCAATGAAGTTGGAGGGGACTGAAGAAAGATACCGTCGTTCTGTGATGATGCCAGTCTCTATGTTATGGAACTCCAATCTCGTATGATCGCCTGCCATTTGACCTATAGGAAAAGATAATATGTTATCATTTTCTGTATCTGAATAGCATTTCTAACTTTAGCCTCTCATAAGAATACCACATTTTAAAATATAAGGATCCAAATATTTCCCTGGTACTCAGTTGAATATAGCAAGATCACCTAGATGTGGTTAAAGAGTAAGGCTGGCTTACATTGTAAAACTTTTTTAGGCCTGGTGTTAATTCTGTCTTAATGAGTCTTAACAAAAATAATCCCCATTGATAAAAGACAGACTTCTTTATTTTTTTGAGAGGTTTTTGCTAGTAGGGCGCGTGCGCTCACCAGAAAGACAGAAAGAGATAGACAGAAAGTGAGAAATCACCCCCAGGGGGGATGACCATGCCACAATCCCTTCTTCTCCATTCTCCTCTTGAGATCTTGGGCATGCACGCACGCACATGTGGCGGGCGTGAGTTTAACCCACTGGGTCTGGGAATCGGAAACGTGGTCGACTATATGGGAGTCGAGCGACATAGCCATTATGCT